GGGGAAAAGACCATTTTACCCCTCCAATGGTCCAATGTCCAAATGTTGACCAAACCCTATAAGTCAACCCCAGTCAACGCTCCAACTTTGACCAGACTCGTCGAGTGCACTCGGGTGACTCGACGAGTCCATGCGTGTCCTCTGAATCCTCCTACGGCCTCACTCGACTCGTCGAGTTAACCTTTCTCTCGACGGGTTACCACTGATCACGAATCGTGGTGCAACACGATCCGACTCGTCGAGTCCGCTCATGGACTCGGCGAGTTTCTTCCATGAGAATGCTCAAACGACCTTTTGAGGTCAGATCTGTTTCTCTAACCTATAGATCTGGCCTTCTAACACTCAAAAGTTACGTAAAGGTCCAAACTTTATGCTCATGCAACACTCATATGGCTCTATACGATGAATTAGCCCTAATATGACAACCATGATCTAAAACCCAAAAAGGGACTGCATAAAGCTGGATGTTTGGGCTCTCTGGACCTCTCAAGGTCCAGATCTAAGGTCTATTTCACATTGGGACCTCTCAAGGTCTTATTCCAACTCAAGAAAGGGTGAAGAAACCCTTGATTCAAGAATCCTACACAATAAAGAAGAAAAGGGGGCGAATTGCTACCTCAAAGTGAAGCCTGCTTGCTTGAAAGTCTCAGAACAACAACCTCCTTTGGTCCTTCTTGCTGGATCACTTCTCCTCCTTAGCAAAATCACAACAAATGGTTCAAGATGGCTCTCTCTCTCACTACACACGCTCAAATATGCTAGGGTTCTTTTCTCTGAAAGGGTGGCCGCAAATGAAGGCCATAAGGACCCTTAAATAGGGCACATGCCCAAAGATTTAGGGTTTCTGTCCACAACGCGGACTCGTCGAGTCGACCCTCCGACTCGTCGAGTCCATTCATTAATCCTAGTCAGCAGTCGCGATCCTACTCGACGAGTCTAGGTGTCAACTCGTCGAGTCCCTCTCCTTGACTCAAAAATAAATACTCAATTATGATACCTGGAAATCCGGATGTTACAAATACACATTCTGACATAATATATATTTTGATTTAATGAACTTCTTGAAGAATAATAAAATTTTGGATACAAGTTAAAAAAAATTTCATTACATTCTTCGAAAAGAAAAAAAATTATATACTATTCTATGAGAATGTTACACTTATTAATAACAAAGAAATACAAATATATAAATCATTCTACCAGAATATACTATTACATATATTTCTTTTTATTATATTGTATATTATTCTGCTATAATAATCCATTCTTTTTGGAAGATTGGTGGTCATTGGTCATCTTCATCCCATACAATGTTCATCTTCAAGATTCTATTCTGACATAATCGGAATTCAAGATTCCATTCCAGTAGAATGTTGTAAGTCTCATATGTACCCTTCCCATCCAAGAAAACAAGAACATTCTTGTTCTTGATTTCATGTATACCTGCAAATGTGAAATACAACCACTCATTGTTATTGCTTAATCTTCTTTCCATGACAATTTCAAGCAATAAACACCACATCGAATTCTGTCAAGCAAAACAAACAATTTTCTGTAAAACATTAACCCCAAAAATCCATTGCATTTATCCATTTCTATCAAGAACAATCAAACCCAAAACCCATCAACACTCCACTGAATTTTTGTCAAAACAAAGGAAAGAAAAACAAAATCAAAGGAATATCCATGGCCACATTTGGTCTACTGCTACTTAGGTGACAAATCCCTCTAAATGTCTAGTCTTTCTATCAGAAAGATCACTTCTTTGCCTCTGGATAATCAGAAATTAATACGACTTATAATTAGCAACTCAGAAAAATAATTTGTAGAAATCATCGCTGTAAGTCCCCAATCTGCTTGTGTATCAATCAGATCCGTTTGATGGTGCTGAATCCTAATCAAACGGATGATGTCAGGTCAATTTAGAAGAGAAGGAGAAGAAGAAGATGATGAATCTTGTATGTATTGATATGAATGAAGATCTGGATACAAGATTCACACACACTAACACACACTCTCTTTTCTCTCTCTCTAGAACACCTTCAAATACACACACTTAAGCTCCTCTAGTCTATGGCAATTATGCACTCCTCACCCTATATATAGTAGACATGGGCCGTGAATGGGTTTACGGCCGTAAACACTGACCGTAAACACATATATGGCCGTAAACACTGAGTTGTTTACGGTCCTAGACATAAAAATATATTTTCCTAGAAAAGTAAAGTATAAACCATATTTTTGACCCAACAATCTCCCCCTTGGTTTATAGCTTTCTTTTCTTAATTGACCCAACAAGCCCCCCCTAACAAGTAGCTGACTTTTCTTGTTAATCTTCAGTGGGAGCTTGGCTTCAGCATTAATCTTCAAATTCTTCACAGCTTCAAGATGAACTAGATGAATCTTCAATGAATGACTTCATCTTGAGCAGTTGGGCATTTCTTCAGAATTTGACATTGAACGCACATTGGGTGAGGAGGCTTCTTGTACTGATTCTTGAAAGATAGTGCTTTCAGCTTGAGAATCTTCAGAGAGAACATCAGAGAGAACTAATCTTCTGGATCACTTCAGCAGGTTCATAGATAACAGCAGACTGATTGAGGAGGCTTCAATGCAATCCGTCACCTAATCTTCAAGTGCAGCTTCACCTTGCTTCTGGGGTTGAAAGATTAAATGTCGAAAGAATAATCTTCATTTCTTGCTCCTTCGAATGAGAATTCTTCGATGATCACGGATGAAACCTTGGCTTAAAAATCTTCGACACAAACTCCATGAGTTTCATCTTCACCTGAATTCACTTTTCAAGACAAAACAAAACTAAAAGAGAATTTAGCACACAATATTTTGGGTTTTTCATATTTTCTGAAAAAATAAAACAGAAACAAAAAATATTTTTGGATTTTTTTTAATCAGAAAAATAAAAACAGAAATAACACTATTTTTGAATTTTTAATTTTCTGATTTTTGTTTGATTTTTGAATTTTCTGATTTTTGTTTGATTTTTGAATTTTTTTTTAAAATTCTCCCCCTAAATTTGTGCATAGAAGAAAACTATGAACAAATTTAACAAAAACAAAAATATTTGGGATCAAACGGATGATGTTAGATCAATTTAGAAGAGAAGGAGAAGAAGAAGATGATGAATCTTGTATGTATTGATATGAATGAAGATCCGGATACAAGATTCACACACACTAACACACACTCTTTTTTTTCTCTCTCTAGAACACCTTCAAATACACACACTTAAGCTCCTCTAGTCTATGGCAATTATGCACTCCTCACCCTATATATAGTAGACATGGGTCGTGAATGGGTTTACGGCCGTAAACCTGTTTACGGCCGTAAACACTGACCGTAAACACATATATGGCCGTAAACACTGAGCTGTTTACGGTCCTAGACATAAAAATACATTTTCGTAGAAAAGTAAAGTATAAACCATATTTTTGACCCAACAATCGCTCATTAAAAACAGAAAAAAAAATCAACTCAGTTAGAAACAACCTCAATACTATGCTGAGAAATCTTTGCCTCTGGATAATCAAAAATTAAGAAAACAAGAGAAGTTGTAATCAGAAAACGCATACAATCAGATAATCAAAAAAAGTTATATAAGCCCCAAAACCAATGAATTGATAATGATTGAAGCTCGAGAATCACATCAAAACCAATGAATTGATAATGATTAAAGCTCGAGAATCAAATCAAAATCGGTGAGAGAGAGCGACAGTCGACAGAAGTGGAGATTTCAGAAGGAGAATAGAGAAATTAGGAAAATCATTGAATCGATAATCAAGACTAATTAATCGTTTCAGAATGAAAAGAAGAAAGAAAAAAGGAATCGAGAAGTTTTACCTGCTGTAGCTGATCCCACAACCAAATCCTTCTTCTTGCTTGACCTTTCCTGCCTCGTCTTCCTCCTTGGATCGACACCACAGCTTCTGCTCTTTTCTTCATATCACAATCTCCTCTTTCTTTCTCCGCTTAAGCAAATACACGCCACAAAAGGATTTAGGGCTAGGTTGGTCTGTTAAGGCCGAAATTGCTGAATTGATTGAATTTTTTAGGGAGGATTGAGTTGAAAAGTACAGAGTAACCACGATGGTCCTAGGTCAGATAAACAAAATCGAGAAGAAGGAAGATAGAAGGAAGGTGTTTGGGGCGGACGATGGTGGCGACAACTTTGTATCATCGGCTAGGGCTTGTAATCGGTGGAGATTGAGCGACTAGATATAAACCTGGATAAATTAGGTTAAAAGTCAATACCATGATTATATGGATTCTTATTGGAAGTTACTAATCAAATTACTAAATTACCCTTATTTATTTATTTAATTATTTAATTTTGATTGACCCACATTTATGCATACAATAACACTATAATTACTTTTAAATACCTGAACCTATATATATATATATATATATATATATATATATATATAATATATATATAAAAGTAAGTTCAAATAAAAATGGTAAATATTGTGAGAACATAAAAACACTATTTTTGTGATATTATTCTGTAATGAATGTTGTATATGTGTATTGTTAAAGTAATTCTAATATGAATATTAACTTTTGATTAGTGATATATTCATTACAATGTTATTATTCTATTATAAATTTATGTATGTTCATTTTTGTAGTAAATTCTAATTTTAGTTTTAAATTTGACTATTCATTTATTCATTGCTGAATAATGACATATAGTTGTCGATACCAAATTCATTGTAGAATAATAACATAAAAAAATGTTTTTACGTTCTCACACTATTTACTGTTTTTATTTGAACTATTCCCTATATATATATTATATATATATATAATTATATATATATATATATATATATATATATATATATATATATATAGAAGACAGTTGTGATGATCTTACGAGTAGGAGGGCTTAACTGAAAACACCCCAAACATTATCTTTTTTATCTCGATTTCGTAGGCGGTCAATTTTCAGAAGAAAACAGAGGGAACTAGCGGAATCCATGGAAGCCATAGCTAAGAACTTCATCATCTACGTATCGTCGATCACAGTATCTCTATCCTACTGCTATTTCGTATCTTCTAAGATCCCTAAAGGTATTTACAGATTCATCTCTCTCATACCTATCTTCTACATCTTCACGATCCTTCCTCTTCGTTGCACATATGTCTTCACCACCGCCATCTGCTTCTCCTTCACTACCTGGCTTATGAACTTCAAGCTCATCCGATTCGCTTTCGATCTCGATGAATCGCCATATCGCCGTTCCGATTCGCTTCTCCGTTTCATCACCGTCGCTTCTTTACCAGTCAAAACCAAAAGTACAGATTCCACCTCCGTCAATACGTCACCAGAGAGATCTTGGTACAAACTAGGGTTGCAGAATCTGATTTTCTCCATACTTGTAAGTACAGTGAATAATTACAGAGATCGATTTCATCCGGATATTGTATTAGTAATCTACTGTGGCCTACTTTTCCTGATAATCGACATCATTGCTGGCGTCGGCGCCGCTCTGGTCCTGTTTTTGACCGGATTAGAGCTCGAACCTTCGTCCAATGAACCTTACCTCGCTACATCGCTGCAAAATTTTTGGGGAAGATGGAACCTCTTGGTAACAAAAACGCTGCGCTATACCGTATACAAACCCGTCAGGTCAGGTTTTTCCGATAATAAATGGGCCCCACACGCCGGCGTATTATCGTCGTTTTTCGTTTCAGGATTAATGCATGAGCTGTTCGTTTACCAATTGTCACGTGAGGATCCCACGTGGGAGATGACGTCATTCTTCGTTATCCATGGAATCTGCGTCGTGGTGGAGATGATTATGAAGAGCAATCTGGCTGGTGGTCGTTGGCGTTTGCCGAAGTTCCTAGCGACGCTGTTGACCGTGGGGTTTGTGGTGGTCACCGGTTTATGGCTGTTCTTTCCGCCGTTGATCAGAACTCAGGTAGACGTGAAAGTCCTTATGGAGCACGCCTCCTTTGTAGATTTCATAAAGACAACTTTATATTCAATGACTCAAAAATCACAAATTCATGTATGATACCATACGATATACGGAGTATAAATTATTGGGTTAATTGAAGAATAAAACTCAATATGTCTTTTCGTCATTTTTAACAATCCTTGTATCATATTTTACATAACAAAATGTATGAATTGAAAAATATCATACATAAAATAGTTAAATTTTAAATGATAAATAAAATATTAACTAATAAAATAATCGGCAGTTATATTATGTTTAGCATCTAACTAATTTTATTTTATAGAATAATTACGTTATAATAAATTAATAACAAACTATAACTTCGGATTAAAAAAAATATACTATTCATAAACGTTTAAGGGTATATTACTTTCCCGTAAGCATTACATTGTGTTTAAAATTGTCGGGTGCTTAAGATTAGCTCCGACATTGTCATACCCCCCTCCCGACATGTACACAGACTTGTATTATGCACATTTCGTTGCTTTTTGTATAGTAGTAATGGTCATTTTAAAAAGGGTAGATTGAATAAATAAATAAAAATTTGGATGTTTTTTTTCTTTCATTCAATTTCTTGATTTTTTCAATTTGTTTCAACATTGACCATTCACCCAGACCCAGTCACCCGGGCCGACGTGACACTTTTTAATGACATGTCATTATTTGGCGACATCACATTTTGGATGTCAAAATGGAAAAAATTAAAATTTTGTGACCTTTAGGATATCCAAAATGTAGTGACTTTTATGTAATTTGCTTTCATGAAATTCCAAATAAAATAAATACTCAATGTGCATTTCAATGTTAGGTAATATACACGACGTCTAGACTAGGGTCTTCTTATGTGTAAACTAAAATCAAAGCTCAACTCAAATTTTAGACCGAAAGCAATCATATACCTGGAAGCTTAAGGAAATCAAATAAGAGGTTAACCGATGGTTTTGCTACGATTTCCTTTGTCAATCAAATCTTTTATTGGTTTGAATTTTTCTTCGTTCGGTTGCTTTCCAAATCGAAGGACACATATACATATACATAAACGGTTCAAATTTCTTCTTCATCCTCGAGTTTGGAACACAAATCTTGATAGATGAAGAGATGTGAGAGACGATTTCAACTGAGCATGGTAGACTATTTCGATTTTTAATTGATGAGATGGCTATTATTTTTTTAGCAAGATTTGATTTTAAAACACAAATTTGTGATTTTCAAGACAAAGAGAGAGATGGTACACTCATTTGTGTGTTTTTTTTCACTTAAAAAATAAATAAGTATACATATAAATCTAAAAAAATAAAAAATAGTTTTATATTATTTAAAGATCAACCAAGCAAAAAAAAAAAAAAAACTTAAGTGAAATTTGTCTTAAATATATTGATACCAAAACCACAGAAAACTTCTAGCTGGGCTTAATACAAAAACCAACAAACACAAGGAGTCTAGAGACCAGGCCCATGAATTTCTGTGATTTAGTTGCAATCCCCAAATAGAGAATATCATTCCCTGGAATTCTCAATCGGAAATACAGGACAAGACATATCGGAGATGGCGACGGCGACGGGGACGGCGACGATCAACGACAACACCAGTTCCGCTATCAAAAACCCTAAAAAGACCAATCTCTTAGATCATCACTCCATCAAACACTTACTCGACGAATCTGTCACTGAGGTACAAAGCAATTCCACTCACAAACAAGAAACATCTCGAATTCAGATTTCAATTTCTTTCCTATATGCTGTAATGGTCACATTTTTTTTTATTTTTTTATTTTTTATTTTTTGAAATAGATCGTGACTAATCGAGGTTACAGCGAAGATGTGAGGATGAGTAACGTTAGATTGTTGATCGGAGCGATCATTATTATCATTGCCCTCTTTGCTCAGTTTTACAATAAGAAGTTTCCGGATAACAGGAATTTCCTCATTGGATGCATCATATTATATCCTTTTCTAAGCCCCAGATTCAATTTCCACTGTAGTGCATCGTGTTTACAAAATCGATAACTGAAAGTTCAATATATTTTTCACAATTTTAAAATGAGATACATGATGTACACTCTACACTCTTAAATTTCTTTTACTGCTATTTTGAAGAATTGAGTTTGTTTGATCTTTGACTATGGCAAGTATGTAGTATTCAATGGGATATTACAGCTGATCATCTACACCAAGGAGAAGAACGCATTGCTGTTCACGTACCCTCCTGCAGTAAGTTTGATTCATCTTAATATAGATCAGTAGTTATACTCCTTGAATAGGCTCAAATTCTACTTGCTTATTAAGAAGATATTGTATGCTTGATGGTGTCTTCTAAATTTGAGATAATGTTCAAACTTCAAAATTATCTTGAGTTTTGATGGAAATGGTATACTTGTTATCTTGACAGGGTTCTGCTTATAACAGTACCGGATTAATGGTGTCTTCTAAATTGCCCAGATTCTCTGACATGTATACACTCACCATAGCAAGTGCTGATCCAAAATCCATTTCTGCAAAATCAACTGTCGAGTTTACCAAAAGTGTTACCAAATGGTCTCTCTCTCTCTCTCTCTCTCTCTCTCTCTCTCTCTCTCTCTCTCATAGATGCATACATTCATATAGTAGTTTATAATAGTTGTTGCATTGCATATGGGTTGTTTTGTAGGTTTACAAAGGATGGAGTGTTGGTGGAAGGGCTGTTTTGGAAAGATGTGGAGGGCCTGGTGAATGAGTACGCTAAAGCTAAAGATAACAAAAAGAGCAAGTGAAATGTGAATCTGTGATTGATAATGATAGGGGGTAGAATTGAAATATTGAGAACTTATAGAGGTATTTTACCAAACACCATTGGATCTTTTTCTTGAACTTATAGATATGGAGTGGGTCCAACATTGCCTTGCAAAAATGAATGAATGAAAAGTCACATTTGATATTGTTAGTCATAAAAATAGATAAAATGATGCATGCTTGAAACGCCCCCTTTTAACATGATAATTGAACTTTTCTTGTTAGCCCTCGATAAAAATATCTGTTAATATGTGGGTTTTTTAAAGGGATAATGACTTAAAACGGTAATATATGTTTCGATTTTTACTTTTACACATTTGTTCACTTTGTTAGCCCTACTTCACAACTTTTGTTTTTCTAATTTAGAACAATAAGACCATCCACATCGATGGCTTGCAAATGGTTTGCAAGGCCAAGTAGGCCATTATTTTATGTCACATAGGAGTGTCTCTTTCAAAACTTAAAAGGCTTGCAAAAGGATTATATTAGTATTTTAATCAAATAGCCATATCAAGATATTAAAAACAATTGAATTGATATATTATATTACCTTTATATTAAAATAATAATATCTAATCCATGTGTCTTGCAAACATTATACAGGTGGCCTTTACAAATATATTGCAAGACTACCACTGATGTAGTTGCTCTAAGGCTATCAAACCCAAAATGGCATGCCACATTGTCACATAACATGCACGATATGCCACATATGGAGTCTTTGGACAATCATATATTAAAAATCATCAAAGTTGTTTGAAATGCACAAGATATTTGCATTGTTAGCTGTATTGGCAATATATTGATCTTTTTGGTGATTTATCCTTCATTTTTAGTTTCTTCATTGGACTGTTCTCTTGATCACTAAGCCCAATGCAAACAACTCTTTTCTAGTTCAATTCCATCATTATATAATAGATTTATGTTGTCTACCTAAATCCTGACTTCATCAATGATTATGTAAGTAACTTTCCCTGATCAGGACAACGTATCTTCTTGAATTCTTATCCTTACATCTCTATAATCAAATAACCCTAGTCACACCAATTAATTGCTCAATTAGCGTCATTAACAAATTCCTAAGTTCAATTAAAGATCCACAAGTTCTCGAAAAGTATGAAGTGCATCAAGCGGTAACAACAACCAATTAGCTAAGTAAATCATCAATCGAACTAATAAACACTGCAATACAGAAACCGGCACCACATCGTCTTAAACAGGTCATTAGTGTTAGCAACGTGCAATTAAAACACAAAATAAAGATAAATGAAAACAAATAGATTTGCCTGTCTTACCCCAAATGCCACGGCTTTTGGCGATGCGGATTGACAGTACAATCTGGTTGGTGCCCTCAATTGCAGCATTGCAGACTCGTCGAAGCTCCAGATCATCGACGCTCAATTTCACCATTTCTTCTTGCTTACCTCTCCTCTTACGGGAGACGATGACCAGATCTCGGAGCAAGATAAATGAACAGCAAGATAAATGAACTTTGTTCTACAGTTTGGGACTTGATGATTCAAGAAAATTTTACCTTTTACTAATCATATGAAAATTCAGCTTTGGTCAATTTTTGTATCTTAGAAGTCATCTGTAACACCTGATTTTCAAGTATGAATTTTATGAATTAATCTTGTGGAATTTTGATGGCCACGACGTGGTGGGGATGATCACCACGACGTGGCAAGGCTTTTGGGGCCATGACCATTTTAAGTGGCCATGACGTGGCCATGTATTGGCCATGACGTGGCGACGTCCCATGCTCAAACCCTAATTTTTTCGTGCTTAAGGCCCTATTTAAAGGATGTGATGGCTAGCGTTTTGTCCACCCTCCGCCTCCATTCCCTCCAAGTGCTTAGATCTAAACCCTAATCCATTCTCCTCCATTTTTAAGCCTCTTTGTGGTGTTATTGTTCTTGTGAAGGAAGAAGGTAAGTATTGTGGAGCAAAAAGATCAACAAACTAACTTCATTTCGGGCTTCTTGAGCTCTTTGTGGACCTTTATAAGTCTACAAGCTTATATCTTTTGCTCTACCTTTCTACATCTAGGTTTTATGCATATTTCTTCATGTATGAGATGGTTTGAATGATTGAGATCAATAAAGTTGGCAACTTTATTGATCCTTGAGGTCCCAAGAGGGTTAGATGCTCAAGATCTGAAGTGTTATGTAGTTTTGAGTGGGGACTTGGGGTTTTGACCCCATCTCTCACATTTTTTACCTAGTTAAGTGAAAGACATGCATTGGACATGCATGTCCACAAAGTAAGGATTTTTATGATGGATATAAGTGTGAAGAAGCCTTCTGGAAAGTTTGAGCAAAGGAATTAACGGATTTAGAGCTTAATCAATTAAGTTGTCTTCAATTAGAAACCACGACGTGCCATGTTGCTCGCTACGACGTGGTGATGGAGTTTTCGCGACTGTTTTGTCGTGTTGCTGCCACGACATGGTGGCAGAGCTGGTCGCGACCGTTTTGTCGGAGAATAGACATGACGTGGCCAATAGTTGGCCACGACGTGGTGACTGTTGACTTTTGGTCAACTGAGTAGTTTTAGATGATAGACTAAGGTTTAACCTTGGATGTTTCATTAGGTGGTGGGTAGCACTAGCTTTTTGTATATGAGAGTTTTGGTACTTTCGACTTCGATTGTGAGGTGAGTCTTCTCACTATACTATGTAGGATGCTAGATTGTCTTTGTGACTATTGAATGAAGACTAGGATCTGGCCCCTAGCATGAATAGGTGTGAAAGGTAGTAAAGACATGTATTACCCGAAGCATAGGATTCACACTTGGATCAGGAAGAGTCACAAGGTTACTGAGGCACTAGTAATTGAGTTTGTTTTGCTTGTTTCCGTCATTACCTGTGTTTTGGTGATGACTAGGAAAATGATATTTGTTCAGACCCTAGTGGCCATCGAGTCTGAGTAATACAGGTCTGCGCAAGTGAATTGATTGATGCGATGTAGTAACCGACTTAAGTCAGGAGAATTAAGAAGGAGATTGATCTATGAAAGCTTGCAACCTTCATTAAGGCTAAGCAGCCAATAGCTAGAAATGCTACCTGTTATGATGTGATTGTACCACATTAGAACATGAAGGAAAGTTTCTTCTGTGTTAGTATTTGACTCATAAAAGACAAGAATCTAGTTCGTTGTACTGTGCAATGGAAGGCCATTAGAGTGTGACCGTTCGGTCTGTTAGTAAAGCCGAAGTAAAGACTTCATCTTAGATTCAACCTACGACCTAATTTGAGAAGGAACGAGAATCTCCGATGAAGATCGAGTTTGTAACTCGAAGGTTAGGACTGAAGTCCAACAGATGATGAAGAGTGGGTGTAGGTTCGAGTACCACCATCGGTTAAGAAGTCCAAGAGTTTGACGCTCATTCGGCAAGTCATAAGAGTTGCGGATGTGGTAAAGAGAATGAGAAGACGCATGAGGATGTTTGTTGTACGTTTGTGTCCAGATACTTTAGATTTGATCAAAATAATCAACTGGAGAAAGACAAGTTGATTGTACCAGAGAAGAGGTATGTTGTAACGCCCGGTTCCTGGTACGTATTTTAAATAAAAATTATGCATTTTTTTTTACAAAAAGACTTGACAAGTTGGAGGCCCCAAACTCGTCGAGTAGGAATGGGAGAAGTTTGGACGTGTGACTCGAAATCTACTCGACGAGTCGAGAGCCTCGACTCGACGAGTAGGGATGCCAGGGTGAAACCCTAATTTTTAGGGTTTGCATCCTATTTAAACACTTTATCTGGCCTCAACTTCAGCCTCCATCACCTCCAAACATCAGTCACGAAACCCTAGCCCATTTTGAGTGTTCTTGAGCCATTGTTGTGTGTTTTTGGTGGTTTTGAAGCTTGAGAAGGAAGAGGAAGCTTGGGAGATCAAGGGGAAGCAAGTAGATCCATAGTTTGTGCTCCATTTCCAGTTCATCTGAGGTATAAAGTCTATACCTTGTCCATTAATTTACTAGATCCCTTCATGGTGTAGTTTAGGGCTTTTTGGAGCATAATATGGGACCATGCATTGATGCAAGCATGTTTGGGGTTAAGACTTCAGATCTGGAATCTTTGAGAGACTCCATGGCATAAAGGTGCCAACTTTATGGCCATGGGAGTCCCATGCAACTTGTGAACCTTATATTAAGGCCTTTTGAGCTAGATAACCCATGCATGAACGTAAAGTTTGTAACTTTACGTGTTATATCGACCCTAGGAGGCCAGATCTACGTTTTGGATGCATTAAGCCCGACTAAAATCGACTGTATGGAATTAGACTTTGGGGGACTCGACGAGTCGTTCTTAGGACTCGACGAGTTGGGTCGTGGTTCCCCAACCTTTTCTGTTGCTAGGCAAATTTGTTGAGTCTAGAAGATGACTCAGCCAGTTAAGACGTGTTTATGGACTTGAAGATCAAAGAACTCGACGAGTCCAAGGATGAACCTGGCGAGTTGATAGCAAAATGTCCCACCCTGTATGAAGGAGAACTCGACGAGTCCAAGGAAGGACTCGACGGGTTCAACTGGAAAGTCCCGAATCTGTCATAAGGAGAAACTCGGTGAGTACTCGACGAGTTAGATCGCGATTTAGAGACTCCATGAATTATGGAACTTGAAGAGGTGATGGACCAACTCGGCGAGTTGAGTTGACCAGGATGTTGACTTTGACCAGGGTGTTGATTTTGACTTTGATCATTGACCATAGTTGACCCTAAAAGGGGTTATAAGTTTGAAATAGTAATTAAAAGAGATGTTATGTGTAGGAGTTTGAGGAGAGTTGATCCCAGCACCGAGGACAGTTCAGTTACTGCACGACATTGAGGTGAGTTACCTTCCAATAGAAGTGCCACAATGTCGGCCCACTAGTAGGAGTTGTTTGATAGATGATTGTCTTTGTGATAATTATCTAGGTTTGCTACTACCTGATATGTTTTATGTGCTAGCATGATATGATGTTATGTAATAGTGGTAGTAAGGGGGATCAATCCCCGTGTTACGGTCGTAAGGACCGAAGGGTAGGTCGGGCAACCCAGATATGCCTGACAGTATGTTTATGCTATGTTATTATGTGGTAGTGGTAGGGGTGAAATAGTCCCCGTAGCCGGTTGAGATATATTGGAGGGTTGGCCGGGCACTCCAGAATTGCCTAGAAGGGTAGGTCGGGTACCCCAGAATTGCCTGGCAGGGTAGGTCGGGTACCCCAGAATTGCTTGGCAGGGTAGGTCGGGCACCCCAGAATTGCCTGGTAGGGTAGGTCGGGCACCCCAGAATTGCCTGGCAGTATGTTTGTTATATGGTATGTGGTATGATGGGGGAACTCACTAAGCTTTGTGCTTACAGCTTACAGTTTTTGTTTCAGGTCCTTCTTCTTCGAAGGGAAAGGAGCCGGCACGGTAGCAGCGCATCACACCACTATTTTCCGCACTATGATGTTCTTGGGATTATACTCTGACATTGTTACTATATTATGACATGCTTTTGAGACATATGATCTATGGCTTTGATGAAATGAAACAACTTGATGATGTTTTCTTTAAATTGTTTTTATATCAAAAATGAAATTTTTGGTCATGATTTTTGGGATGTTACAAGTTGGTATCAGAGCCTTGGTTTGAGGGATTCGGACACACCTTCGGGAGTGTCTGGACTCAAATCGAGGGTTTGAACGATTTTTACAAGAAAATAATAATTTTTCTAAAAAGTAAAACAAAGAGTTTTGAGAAAGAACAAGGTGTGTGATGCGTGCAATCGGCGAGCACAAGTAAGTTTTCCCCAAGATACCCATACATGTTATGATATGATATGATTATGAGAA